ATATCATCAAGAGACCGGCACTGGAGTAACTCTTAAAGCTGAGAACTCACCTGGAGAAAAACGTTATCGCTTACAACATCCTATCGAATCTATCAAGTAAAATGATTTCGTGTACCAGACTGTGGTTGTGACTGTGGGGTCAAATACACTGGTCAAACTCATCAAACATTGTCAACTAGCTTAGCCGAACACATAAATTTAGATGAATATAGAATGATATACCCTAATAAAATAGGAAATCTTGAAAATATCTGAGCAATAGCCAAATATGCTGTCACGCATACTCAATAGATGGGATGAGAAAGAGTGTTGATTTCGAAGAATAACTTCGGTGAGTGGTGAGAGACAAAGCGAGAGAGAGAGACTGATAAATGAAGCGACACAAATCACGATGTGGTGGAAAATTTCACTATCGATTATATCAAAGAATGAAAAACAACTAAAGAATGAAAACCAGGTCAGAAAGTCTGGCGGTTACCTTAATGTGAATGTGATCAATAAATCCTGCTTGAAACATCATGAGTTATGTCTAAAGTGAACTGCTTTCACATTAGTACATAAAAGAAGCACATCTACTGTAGATATATACCTATCATAGTACTTTGAGTTAGATTGCAAACAACAGAATACCATTTCATTCTACGGAGTGTCTTTAGAAAGCTGAGGCTGAAAAGTGAAGCTAATTTCAGTTGTATCAATACATGTAACCGTATTGTGAGGTTGTATTCATTCCTGTTTTCTACATATTGTACACAGAAATTTGTTGTTGAGCAGATAATTTCTTATTGTATTTCACAGAAACAATAGCTTTAATCAAAGATTGACTTGTTCAGGGGAATCAGTAAACCTTTATCTGAATTCCATTAGTTATACGGCGCTTCTCAAGTAAATGCTGTACCAATAACATATTTTTTGCTTGACTCTAACGCTACCATGAGTGGTACTTCAAACATATTATTCCACCTTAAATATTCAGCGTTTATTGATGTAGATAAATAAGAACGACAACCATACGACAAGTGATCAGTCACGTCTACGAATAAACAACCTGACCTCTTTCGTACATATTTAAGTATTTAGCTCAATGAAACTTCTACCATATATACTTTGATCTGGGATGTTACAGTGAGACATTTAAATTTTCAAAAGACTTCATTTCACTTTCTTATCACGTAGGATAAGTGTAACACTTGCGAGTGTTGAACGCTGACTAGATGAATGCCACATACACAACGAATTTCTATGGAGGTGGACTATCATCACAATCGTAATTTAGTGCTTAGCAATGAGTCAGAAAATTTTGTGACTGAGTATGAGAATATAAATGGTTGGTTGTTCACCCACCTTCTTTATCTGATCAACCTCTTTATTTGGTTCCTATGTGAATGTAAAATCTTGAAAATCTGCACTCAATTTCGACAAAGTGGTACTCATTTCCTCATTGAATATCAAGTTAACTTGATACCATTGTCTGTTGATGCACACAGCACTGGTTGATGGATAAGAAGTTAGCACTGATTTGATGTGAGGTGATTTTAGAAGGTGAAGCTAGCTGAATTCCAACCTCCCACTTCCACGATATAGGTCTAAGCTGTAGGCGACTGAGTTCCAATTTTTACAGTGCCAGGTAAATCTCCCACTGAGATTCACTCAGCACAGTTATAAAGACAGTGGATATGTGACAACATCATCATCTCACTGGCTGCTCAGAAGAATTCCTGTTGTCTCAGTCGAAATTCAGTGTTCTAAACCTCAATAGATTCAACAAGTCTATCAATGTATTGGTTGGTACAAAAATCTCTAGCCTTATTGAAGACAATCAAAGTGGAAGGCTTCTGAAACATCATTTTGAACCACTAACGAAACACGCTACAAGTAAATTATGGGGTCATATCTTTGTTCTGTTAAGTGGTTTACAGTAAGACACTGAATTGAATTGAGTAGATGATATTCACCCTATACTGCTGTATTAGGCTTCCTCTTAACTAACTAATTCCAGTAAATTCAACTACTACATTACACAAATGTTGGGCATATTCGAACTGTGACGTCTGTGGGTATTTCATATTTCTCAATTGACAATGTTCGCTTTCAGTGGCCTACTTTATTCTAAAAAATCGCAGTGCCATCATTTCATCACATCTTTTTGAAAGTAGTTGGAAGCTTGACCGAGATCGACATTCTCTAGACTCATAAAATGAATGAATGATAAGGCGAAATGAAGTAGTCAAACCATTTTCATCTCCTGCACAATATTCAATGTGAAAACAAGTCACTCAATAGATCCATATTAACAATAAATAGAAATCTGAAACCGACTTTATCAACTGGTAGGGATTGCTTAGTTTAGAGATCTAATTTGATTGCACCACACTGTTTTGTTTATAAATGGTCGCAGTTGGCAAAAATATAGGGAATAAACGACACATTGCTAATGATAAAGTGGTCTTCTCAACTTCATACATGGATGATGTGTAGTTGGCACACATCTGTCATTGTTTATGTACTGTCTTCTTCTTCTTCTTCTTGAAATGTATGTTCAATAAGTACCCTTCAAATGGATTCCTACACATGAATAGAAAGGTAGGTTTTTAATTTTTTTTTATTATGAGTCCCTTGGGTTCCTAGTGGAACATAGGGCTTCAGTAGCACGTCTCCATCCCACTCTGTTCTCTACAATCTTTTGAATCTGGTTCCACGACAGCCCACAACCTCTCATTTCCTCCTCGCACGATATCCTCCATCTCACCCTCGGATGCCCAACTCGTCGCTTCCCATGGGGATTCCACTCGAGTAACTGGCCTGAAGCATGATGTCCCCACTCGGCCTTCTCAGTGTTTGCCCAATCCATCTCCACTTCCTCCTGCATATTTGTTGCGTGACAGTTTCTTGCTTCGTTGGTTCGTTCCCAGAGCTCCTTGTTGCTTATTCTGTCTGGCAATCCATCTGATCTTCAGTAGCGAGCCAGCGTAAGCAGTTGTTGATGAATGTCTGTAGTTTATTGGAAATGCCTTTCGTGACGTGCCAAGTCTCTGAACCATCACACAGAAGCACTGACTTGACTGGGTTGGTGTTGAAAATCCGTATCTTGTTCCGCATGCTGAGTGCAGAACATCTCTACACTGGTTTCAGGCTTATGAACGCCTGTCTTGCTTTTCCGATTCTGACTTTGACATCCTCGTCTGTGCCGCCTGTAGTTGAAATAGTGCTGCCTAGGTAGGTGTAGGTGAAGAAGGATACTTCCTTTAAGTTTCTCCGTTGATGGTGATTGGAGTTTGTTGTTGTTGGTGGTGCGGTATCTTCATCACCTCTGTCTTCTTTATATTCACTTGAAGCCCCGTCTTCGCTGCCTCTTCTGTCAACCTCGCCTGGTTAACTAGTTCACTAGTTACTAGCCGGTCCTAAGCCCGGGTAAAGAGGGAAGGTTAGGCATACGGCTAGCAACCCAACCCCGTAAAACGAATCCAACCTCTAAAGAAACTTCAAAGCACAAACAAAATATAAAAAATGAAACAAGATAGGTAGGTATTTATTATTTATCCATTCGTATGCCACAAAATAACTTCATTCTGACTAGGAACGCATTTCAAAGTCTACATTTATGTCTATTCACGAAGAAAACACACTTCATATTTTAGAAATATTATACTATTCAATTATAATCCAACAAGAAAGATACAAATGAGTCCGACTAAAGATTGAACTTTGATCGTCTTTATGAACTGAAGTTGAATGAAGTGTGCATCGGTTTGATACTTCTGTGTGTCTAGCTGATATACTCTGAAAACAGGGTAAGAATTTATCATATAAAACATACGAAATACTTATCAACTTGAAATATTTGTAATCAACTCTGTTGATTAGTGAGCTTTCACGTGAGTCAATACTATTCTCGTCATGCATAACATAGATTTGATTCAACCTGTAAGTATATGCCTTTATTGAATGTTGATATCCATCTCGAAATATTAATAACCAACCAGTGTGAACTACAATGACTTGAAACCTGTATGAAAACTGTTTAACAGGCAGATTGTGTCTGATGTCTGAACTTTCGTAGTTCAGCTTAACGACTCAGTGACTCATACATAAAAGTGGAAATTCTCACATTTTATTCCTATACTTCACATACCAGTCTGAGTTATGTTACTATTCGACAATATTGGTTGTCATCGGTATGCCCGAATGTGAAAACTATTCATTAGAATTTATACTCACTCCAAAAATGATGAAATATATTTCCTTCCCTAACCAATATTCCACTGACATCATATTCAAGATTCTCTGAAACTGTTAGTGAACTCAATGACTACACACTGCTCAAGTTATTACAAAGATTCATTCACACTTGCTTAGTCGGAAATAGATTTCATTTATGCGGAGATGGATTGGGCATGCACTGAGAAGACCATTGGGGTACACCACGCGAGACGCCAGGCACTCGAGTGGAACCTTGATGGGAAATGATGAGTTGGGCGTCCGAGGCGAGGGTGACATGGAGGGGGATCGTGTGAGGAAGAAATGAAAGGTTGTGGGCAATCGCTGAGCCAGGTTGAAAAGACTGCAGAGATGTGCAGAGTGGAATGGAGACGTCCTACTCAAGGTGTATGTTCCACTAGGAACTCAAGGGACAAATAATAATAATATCATAAATAATCTGTGGACTGCACAATAATGACCAGCATACTTTCCACTGAAATTCGTTTTACACACCTCATTTTATTCGGTTTAATTTGGTCATGGAAAATGTGAGTTAAAGCATGCAGCAGTAACGCATTCATAATGCATATCCTCATAAGGAAGTTCTATTCACAACTACGTTCAATTCTCAAGTGGATTCACTCAACACACCTGGGGTCTTTTACTGAAACAATCAACAGAAAGCATTTTCAGACTTATCTAGTGGTTAAAATCTACCATTTATCCAATGATTTCTTGATTCAGAATGTAACAATTTCTTCCTATCATATACAGCTAAATAAACAATAAATCTTTGAAGAATGCCAAGAGACAGTAGTGTTCAGACAGATTCATCATTGAATCAAAGCACATCTGGTGTGAACTTAATCAAAGTAAGTATGAGATAAAGTGATGTATTGTTGAATATCTCCCTCCACCAGCTTTTCATAATTGTCAGTCTACCCATTGTGGAAATGATCATTACAATCATACTGATGAACGTGTAGTGAGTTCCTATAAAACACAACATAAAATCAATTGAACAGTTCAGATTTATGTCAGAAACTCAAAGAGAATAAGTATATATCATTTATTTTAATGTAAGTATTTCATATTTATCCATTAAAGATGAACACTTGTAATGACTAATAGTTGCATGGTAATATATTCACTCACATTATTCTACGACTATTGTAACTCCTTTTCCTTGTTTCGTTCAACTCACTTATCTGTTCATATTGCCCATGTTGTATAGATGTTGATTAGTTTCTGTAATGTTGAACAACACACTCTAAATAACCATTGACGATGTGAAGGTAAGGTTGACGAGAGTTTCGAAAGGAAACACTGGAAATCCATTAAGAGACTTCTACAGGAATCATTATTTCGATGTGATCAAAGGCTTCCGAAATGGATATTTGACTCAATGCAAACTGTGCTGAATCCGTAACCACAGAAATGTCAATTAACAGTCACTACTAATCTCACCTTGCTTTTTCTCTTATCGGAATACGAAACGTGAAACTAATAAAAATTCACTTTGTCTTTTTTTCCTTTCTATTCGAGTGCTTGGTCTGCAGCCTCATGTTTGCTGTTTGGATTGATGCGTGGCCTACGAGCAAGGTTTCCTATTAATTATGTTTTTCTACTTCTCAATGTAAGTCAACCTAAATAATGTGATTACCCTAAACATACTCATGCACTTGTTTTAGAATAAACTAGATTGCTCATAGTCTTCTATACCATAAGCTGACAATTTCTGTGTTGATTATCTACATTTCTTAAGATGATATGACAAGATTTACTGCATTTCTTGTCATCACATTCATTCTGTTTATACGTTGTTCATTTGAAATTGTTTCTGACAGTCTGTTTCCGTAGTGCATTTATCTCTATCAAACAGACTGTCATTACTTTGAAAGATACTTATCCATCATTGAAGAGTACACCGGCTATTTCAATATTTGATTGGATCGTTGAGAATATCATCAGTGAAGTATATTGTAAAATCGAACGTTTCAAGTGATAATTTGTGCAGTAAATCACTTCCTATTTGTTTGTATTTTGAAGCCAACCACTTTCTTCTCTACTAATACAAAATGAGTCACGAGGAGAATATATATACATAGTAATTGTTTGATGACAACAGCGATTGTGTGTCGGTTGAGAGGAGCAACAGTCTTATGCCTTAAGTTTTATTTAGAAACGCATTCAAGTTGACCTTATGCAATGCTATTATAAAGGTTTCTAACTTGGTGTTTCCATCCAAACAGGATAACGATAGCCGAAAATGTAGGTTGGTCGGACATCCTCAGCTTGATGATGCCAATTGACGAAACTGTATGCAATGACACGTTGTAAGCTGAAACGTCTGAAGCAAGATTCCATCAGAACGGTATGAAGGAGTACTCTCACCAATATACGGCGATCTAGATTTCGATATGATTTTCCAAATCCCATCAGTCTCCCTTCCACTATCCAGCAATGTAAAAGCCCACGTCAACAAACCTTTTGACAGATTCTACTGATTCACCACCAAGGGTCAGTACAGGTATGTGCTGCTGCCAAATTATAAGGAAACTGATTGAAAGCAACTCAGGCAGTTTGCATAATGCCTCTCTGTGAAACAAATCAATCACATACACCAGGTTGAAAAGCTTTCACCTCGTTAAAGGTTTCCAAGAACACTAAACACTTTTTCACAGCTGTCTCATCATCAATGGCAAACGGAGAGAGGAGTCAGAAATCTAAGAGAGATCAAAAACCCAGCTACTGAGAACGATGATGAAAATGGATTGTGTATCGTAACCCCTTTTTATGTGTCAAATTATGAGACTTTCAAAATGTTAATAAACCTTACTGAACTGCCACCCGTAATCGCACACTTTCTTACAGTCAGTTTCGCCAACTAGCCCTACTCAACCAGTTCAAATCAGCCTTCACATGGAAAAAAGAAAGATCTTTAGTTTGTAGTGTGCATGACAGCTTACCAAACTTATGGAGAATAGTAAATGCATGATTTGTGCAGTTTTAACCTACACACGGAGTTGTACACAGTCTGCTGGGAATGAAACAGGCAAATGTGACTGTATAACTGGCCGTAGAATGGTAACCCGATGATTATCCCAAAACTTTCATGTAGTTTTTAAGGACACGAACAATGGCGACTTATTTCGAGAGAGTCATCATACCTTCAGTTTTCCACACAAACAATGTAGTCAACACTGTGAAAACAGTGTCATTCTCATACTTGGAAATAGTCAGTTATCTGAGCAAGGTGTTCTTCATAGGCTTCCAGTTCATTGGCTGGATAGGTGTTTACAAATTACTGTGCTACATGTTGGTTCATATCTCACCACTTTATCTAATAGGAGTTCTGATAACAGTTTTACTTCCTTGTATCTCTACCACTGTGGTCCGTGAATCCGGAAGTCGACATTTCCATAATATCATGTACTTCACACAGAAAGTTAACATGAAGGAACTACAACTTATAAATTTAGGTTACTTATAAACCTACATTAACTTCGTAATTTGATCATGCTTGCTTCATTAAATTCATGCAGACATGAATATGCTTTAGATGTAATCAGTATACAGTTGTTAGACGCTTTGTCAACTTCGAGTTTAAGAAGCAACATGCTCAATATTCAGCAACTAGACATTCATGTGTTCATCTTGGTACATTACTTACTGATTTCCTCAGTAATCTAATCTTTCCTACATGGCGTAAGTAAATAACATAACATACCATAACAGTTAGGGTATACAATTCTGCCTACCACATTACTGACTATCTACTCAAATATTCAGTTTCTCACTTCTATAAATACACATCGAAGTATTTAGTGAAGTGACAGTTGTAAGAAAAGAAAAGATAAACTTTTCAGTCTGACTAACATATATTTTAACTCCAATTGGTAATCTAATCATTTTTACTTCAAACACTAGACTCTACTCATGTGTTATGCATTCATACCACCAGTGTTGGTTATTCGGTTGGAATACATTCTAACATCCTTCCTTATTGCTACAGTATTCATACTTATCATGATAATCATTGGATTGAACATTCAAATCAAATTTTTTCGAGTTTGGTTATTCGTCGTGATTTGCAGTTGGTTTGGAGTCTTCTTTCTTATATGCATTTGTCTTTATTTTTTCGAATTATGCCATGTAAGTCAAAACTCCCTGATTTCTGTTCACTTTCATTTTCCCCATTTAAAACTGTGAACATGAAAATTTAGGATTCTTTGTATACCCTGATGGTTTGGTATTGGAACCACATTGAAATGAATGCCAGTCTACTTTATGTCGAAATATCCATTGCTAGTCGAAGTCTACTGTGTATATTATGAGACCCCACTTAGAAGATTCATCATTGTTGTGGTTAAACTCAGGAGACTGCTAACTGATTGCCAGAATTCGTCACCAATCATGAAATGAGTGATTCTGAAACTTCACTCATAACTAACTGCAACTGGACACATTTCTTATACTACTAGTTATAACATTAGTCGAATTATTTGAGATTTGAAGAGAATGTTCGGACTGATATCAGTTTTGGAAGGACGGGTGGAGTATGCAACAAGTCATTTCCCATGCTACGATTGAGATTATAGTGAAGGCATTTCGAAGACAAAATGGGCACGCAGACATCATTTGATGAGATATAAGAACAGTTGTGATAGAAGTATGCTGATTGACTCAGTTCATATACGATATAGATGGTAGGGTATGGCTGATACTGGTGTAAACATATTACACAATCATGCACGAGTAGACATCATTTACATTTACAGAGAAGCCACACAACCACCATAGGATTCCATAGAAGCATGTATCATTCTCCATTTGATTATGCTGGAAATAAGGAGAGTATTGTAGATCTGAATGAGGATGATGGTAGTTCGGGGTCCTCTAAACTTTGATATTTTGTCATGGACATTTCGTCGTCTGGCTTGATAACATTCTCAAAGTTAGTTTCATACAGAAGTGAGATGTGTTCGAATGTTACATAACTGTTTAGGAAGTGTTTTTACTGGGCTTGAATGTTATCTAGTTGTGAGTTGATAGAGAGAGAAATTTTTGTCACACGCTCTACTCTTTGAACTTAAATTTCATTCAGTCACGCTGGTAAGAATGTGCTGTTTGTCACAGCAACACCATGTTTCATCAGTGATTTGTTTGTTCAGTCACTCCTGATTGGTAGATTGCTGACTTTCTTCTTAAGTAGGTTACAGACTGGATCCATCTCCATTTAATTTTCGACTGACTATCGTTCGAATATCGTGCTTGTGGAAATACTCTCATCGCATCCAAACCTACTCTTCTAGGTCTTCTTCATTCTCATAGACGAATATTTCAGCGCGACTGCCTGAGTGCACTGAACACAAGGAGATTTTGATCTGTCGACTCTTCGGTATGTGGTGTTCATGAATCCTTTAAGCATTCGGACGGCAAGAATGCTCAATTTAGTCTTCTGAGCAAACATTTTAATTTCTTCCATTTAACAACAGTTCCCTTGGGTTGCATTGAATGCTCCGCTAAGTTTTCTACTACCGGTAGTAGTAAATTAAAACAAGAGCACAAAAATCGAAAATGAATATTTTATCATTGAAAGAAGGTAGGCAATTTCAAAGAGTATAAGATGTGAAACTCATGGGAAGAAATTTCACAAAGAGCATATTGATCATATTGTGCACCAAGATACACAAAGTAGATTCACGTTTTTCATCTGAAAACATAGATCACATTTTCCAGTGTTCATATCTGAGCCCTCAGTGATGCATGAGAGGCATGAGAGTTAACCTACTTCCCATGATATTTACTTATTCGATGTGCCTTCTGCTGTTCATAATTTCTCAATAAACCTTTGCTTCCAATATCACCATGTCCATCGAAAATTTCGTCTTGTCGAGATAAATCATACTTCTTTGAATCGCCCACCATGACGAATACTCCATCAAATATGTCGATGACTAACATTTTGGAAGGATCTGAGGAGAAGATAGAATACTTAGCACAAATTACAGTTAAATTTCACTCTAATTCATATCATCAGAAGATGGTCATAGTTCATATTAATACCATGTCAACACGACCGAAGTGGGTCGATAAGCAATCTGAATGCAGAACAAAATCCGTCAGTGTGATGCGCTTACACTAATGAAACACAACTAACTCCATGATATGTTGTCTCCACAGTCCTCTGTTTATGAATAATACCAAGAGAAATGGATAGTGAGTGAAATGTGTGGAATGTGAATGAATGAATTTCCTATGGCACGTTGGTTTGATTTAGTCACTTATCAAATCAAAGGTAATCGAGTAGAAAGCGAGCACAAAACGCTACGTTTAAAGTAACCAATTAAGGTAACAGCAACAGAATACTATCACGGCAACTAATTAACTAATTCGGCAATGCAACTGTAGTTAAATCATCACATCAGGATGCTAAATGTCTGCACCAATTTCGCCAATTTATTTTCATACCTCATGTTCACCAACAATAATGGTTCACAGTGTGATATTATGTTTCTGTTTTCAGATACTCTGTCCTCTCCTGATTGTTGGCTACCTCCCATTCATTGTACCAGTAAGTGTGTCAGATGTTGATTTTCTTGTGTGATAATAGTATGCACCCTCGGAGGTGAGGGTGATTAGTGGAGTTGAGTAGCACTTGTTGACTATTCACTGACAGTTTCTTAGTAGGAACGGATTAACTTACGCATTCCAAGGACTGTTCAGTTATCTATGCTATGCTAATTCATTGGTACCTGCATAACCGTCTACTTGTATATCTGGATAATATTATTGAAACTCCACTGTTAATATTCGGTTTGAATGATTGTGGAACTTCTACTTCATAGTCAGTGACCTCTGTCAAAATGCATAAGTACAAACTGGAATATTCAAATATAGGCATCGTTTGGCTCTAAGATTCATGGCATTAGTCAATCACAGTGTTATTCTATGCTTTTAACGTGTCATCACTGACAAGCAAATTATACATTTGACTGATTTGCTTCATTCTATCCAACCACTGCAGATTGATTTTGTTATTGGTGACCATTTGTGGACATATTCTACTCGATTCCACAATGAGAATATCATAAATGAACAACTTCCTAAATTACTAACAATGATGTGATCGAAAATTAAAGGTGTAGAGCAAACGTTATAACTTACCCTCAACATTATTAAGGATGTAGTATTATCTCATTATTATCAATGTAGAATTTAGGGGTGGTATAAAAGGACGTGATTCCGTGCTGAAACTACACTAATACAATACATACGTATACTCATCATCACACAAATGAGTGGAACAGAGTAACATTGCTAAATATTAATTTAGACAACAGTGAATACAGGTGGATACCACTGCCAAATATGTGGTGAATTCTACTCCTTTTGAAAGCAAAGATGAACATGTAAATGATGCTCCCGAGGAGGACGGAGGATGGTAAGCGAACTAATACAATTCACCAAATTTTCTCATTCTTCGAAGACTGGACACATTCTCCAGTCACCAGGTCATCAATGTAAACAGATTAACAAATTATTCAGTGAACTATATGTACGAAATAATCTGTGATGTAATAGTCTGATGGAAATTTTGAACTAGTCTTCATTACCAACACAACTTTTCCTTGATGAGTGTCTGACACACTTCAGAATCTTTATACAAAGAACAGAGATTAAGTTAATGTCAAGTGACCTTACTGGAATCAGATACATAAGTAACATTCTCGTAAATTCGACAAACGTCTTGTCTCTGTAGTAAGGTGAATTACTATCAAATGGTGTACAGAAATTTCTAAAACCAACAATTCATCTGAATGTTCAGCTTCGTTGATGCACAAAGATCCGTGCAGTTAGCAGGATGAATACCTGCTAGGGGAAAATCCCATGGTAGATGTTGACAAATGAGCCACATATAGCTGACAGTTTCCAAAAATCCTCCATGTAGTTTTACGGATGGGATCAAGAGATTTTGAATGGTACCTAATTCCCGTGTGTGTGTGACAGTGGTATGCCGTATCAAGCTATTTCATATATATGAACTGAAATCCTTTCAGAAATGTCAAAAATACTCGCAATAACTTTGAATAAGCGAGATTTGTCCTTCGATATGATGTACAAAATGTAAAGACAAGGTGGACTACTCAAACTGTGGAGTGAGACAACAACATGAGAATTCTGTACACATCGCAATAGTGTGTTACTAGACGTTTGTTTCTATAGTCAAACAATAAAAACTACTGTTACTCATTTGACTATAGGCCATATCATAAATCGGATCGACTTCAATTTCTCCACTAGTTACGATTATCAAGTGTCAGACTGAATCTGTAAGTGATAAATTTGTATGAAAACTTAGCCACTGTGTGCAACTGTGCTTTCTGTGAATTTAGTAGTACATGAGCTGTAGAGGCATACAGTAACGTCCTCCTAATATCTCGAATAACGTATCCGTTTTGATATATTGCAATGGATAGAATTTCGAGAATCATTTCCGGTTAGCAGGCAAAATATGTTGAGCAACTAAAGGAACTTAATTAAGACGGATTCGGCTTTACAGTGGGAAAATAGACAAGGGATTATGAAATTAAGTGATATTATACAATACAGGATGAATGTATGAAGAAAAGGAGGAAAATGAACAAAGTGTTGAGTAAATCAAATTGCAGTTATGTAATCCATGATGACAGAGTAGGAAAATAAACAGATGATTATGGAAATACATGTATAGTTACGTAGTACAGGGTGAGTTTATGACACCGGAGTACACCGATTGATGACAGGAAAAATGAGACGTGGTTTCAGTGAAGACTTCGTCGATAATAAAAGATTTTCTTCACTGAAACCACATATTGTCTTTACCTGAAATCTATGACAGTCAAGGCCTTATGATGACTATGGCATAGATGAAGATTGGATGTACCATTCTTAGAAATATGGAGCTGGTTTGAACTTCTGGATGGCTAGTGTTTCAGCAGTAGACAAATGCCTTGATCTTACTCCCTTCGAGTGGTTTGATCAAACCCTGTGGAGAATTTTGAATGAGATCTCAGAGGGAGCTGAGTAGCCTGAGTTCACGAGGTGTTCTGTTATTGAACTGATGAAACATTTCTGTTATCATGTTGCCAGACAGGTGGCGTAGTGTTCATGGGTACGTTTTACAAGAGGACAGACACATTTTTATTTATTTCAATTACTTAATTCATTTTCTCTAATGTATGGAAGGAAGTATACCCACATTCATTTGTCTGCATTTGTTACTCACTTAGATTCTCTTACGCATTGGTCAACTGCTGAGACCAGACTACACTGAGCGCATGTTCGATTCTCACTACATGTTGGCGTCACTCACAATATCAATAATATTCTTCTTCACTTTCTACTTAACTGTTGTGCAATTTTCTCATTGTAAACTATTCAAATGTAATGAAACTTCAGTTAACCAAACATGTGCACACTATTCAGAAAATGTATCCCTTTCTAATAAACTTTCCTTACCCAATCATTCTGCATAGTTCACTTGAATGTCTAGCCTATCTATTCAATTGTATAATTTCAGAATATAACCACTGAAGTTACTGTGATAAGCCATCCAACTTCATATGATTGACACTTAGCGGAAGGGAAATACAGAATGGTATGAAAGACGCTGTAACAGTATACCCCACAAGGTGGGATAAGTGGAAATGTTCGTTATCTTACACTCACGTCATGTCGATAAAGATCATAAGACGTTTTCTTCAGAGTAGACATTAAGTACCATTGTTCATGAGTGCAGCTGCAAAGAAGATCATGATTTATTTTTATTTTACACTACACCTTATTGATTAGAATGAGGTCAACTCTCTGATGGTAATATATCCTCCTAACTCTCAAGTATAAGCAACTACGAATCATGTTGAAACTATAGTCTTATACTTTTTACCTACTTGACGCTTTCAATGGGTACTTGATTCACAAGATTGATGGATATCACCAAACTGTGTTAGGAGACATATAGGAGTCAAAACTATTGAGTAGTAGGTTAATCAAAATCACAATCTTGAGCTTGTTGAGTGGTACTGAAGACACTTTTTCCTCGTAACTCACACGATTTGGAAAGAATTCACTCTGTTGTATTCGTGTAAGACTGTAATACAAGTAGGAGAATAAGAAGGATGAATGGAGTTCATAATTGTAACTTTTATCCATTTGCAATTCAGATAAATTTGGTAACTGGTGTCAAACCTTACAACGCTCTTTGCTTTCCATTGCAAACTGGTTGATTCATCTAAGGTAACCAATTTCATGTTTTATGATCCTCAGTGTTGACCGAACTGTATGTGATTAATTTCTCAGTGAGGTCACTAAGAAGGAAGACTCAACAACATGATCAACTTCGATCGATGTCAGTTGGATTGAAGCAGTTGTTGGGAATCCAAGGATGGATATGCTGTGCTTGTCAGCCTTTGTCAGCATGGAATATCTACTATTTCATGGGTGGTTTGCATTGAATCTCAGGAGATAAGTTAATTCCTTGACATTGTAGATATGTCATGATTATGATAACCAAGAAGAACAAATATATATCCAAGGTTTATCTGTCAACTGTCTGCCAGGAAATATCACCCACTAAAGGAATGTTCATTATGCGGAAATGTTAACACTGCATAAGCACTACGGCATGATTGTTGTTCAAACAAGACCTTCAAAATGTGAAGTAGTCGTGTATGCAGTGATTGTATCGCTGGGCAACTGCATTATAATCCATACGCCAGTGGCACAAGTGTGATTACTGAACTGGAAAGGTGATCAGAATATGAGCAGTTTTTGATCTGTAGAAACATTCAGACATCGATGAATGAGTGAGTCAGTAACTTCATCGATGACCTAAATATTTGTCAAGTGAATGCTGGTAGGTATTTTAAGTTTTGATGCCCATGAACTTCTTATGGATGCTCTCTGAGGGTATATGGATGACCAGCGGCGCAGTTAATGTATCGTCAAACTCCTCCGTAATTACTTTAAGACTGTATGATGATAAAGAAGGAATGAGGCTGAATGACGAAAGCATATCGTTTGTTTTGTAACGGACTGCTGATTTCATCTGGATATCCTCGTCCGATAATACATAATCAGCCTTCCATGGAGGTAGGAATGAATAATTTAACTGTGTTTCAAACACTTACAACATCATAGTCAACAGGGCTACACAGATTTTATAAGTTCTATGGTTGGAGATACATCTTTATCTCCCTTTCAGCCGACAGATATACAACTTGGTCAAAGTAATGAAACTTGCATAGTTTCATTTGGACAAATTTGTTCACAAATCTGGCTAGAGATGTAAACTTTGGAGACGAAGATTACAAGGTGTAACCCCAGTTTCAGAACGGATTAGTGAGCCATAAGTCCGAAGTGCCTACGACAAGAGTTAATTTGTGACTGCCACTATCTAGTACTTTAGGAACTTGTGAGGACGATGGACATTCTTCAGCAAAGTAGACTTTGGTCGATTATATGAGGTGACGTTGGCAAATATGTACTCACCCAATCGCAATTCCAATTAGTAAAGAGTGTTCAGTGCACACGACCGTCACCGCAGTTCATTCCTGTTACAGTAGTCAGTGACATGTGATCGGTAGTAGAAAAACAACAGCATTTTCTCAGACATCCAAAAGGAATCTGTGCATTTACCTGCTAGTGATGCGAGAACAGGTGACACGTTTCGCGAGAACCGTTGCGATTTCAGACAAAAACGAGAAAGCAGTAACTCAGGCAGTTATTCGACGGATAGTTTGAAACTTCGGAATGCAGAAATTTAATTGAAGGACCAGGCCTTGCATCTCAACGACTAAAGTTCCTATCTCGCTTAAAACAACTAGATACCAAGAGAACAGGAACGACGATTTGACACTATCCCACACAGAAATGGCTGGTTGGCAAGTGAAGTGACTGGCAAGGGGTTCTACCACTAGTCTTAATGTCAAATCAGGTATCTGTGCGGGGATCAACACAGAAACATTCGTTTCAGCTGAGGTACGACAAGAATCCTAGACGTCTATTGTAGAGGAAGAATTGAGAGTGACCAACACCACGTAATCTTAGATGACGAGGAAGTGAACGGAAGAAAATGTCAAATATTTCACAGAAAGCAAAAAGCACATTTGGTAAAATAAGATGAGAGTGTATTACCTTAGAGGAAGATTGCAACGGTCCGACAGTTTACAGGACAACACCATGCAAGATGACCCCAAACAGGAAGGTTTACTTATAGTCACGCTGAGATGTGATATGTTTTAAAATATCAAATGAGACAATGAAATACTCCTGCAAGTAATAGAGCAAATGAAGGTGGTGTCACAGACTACGAAGATGGAATTGGAAGCTTCACAGAAGCAGACAGATACGAGACAATCATCAATGCAACGTGCAAATCCTTCAATGCTATTGTGAGTTTAGTGAGAGCTATCTGCAAGTTGTATACACAGCAACGTGAAAAGTGATAAGGAACGGCAGGTGAACAATCACGCAAACATAATAATACACAATATTGATGGAAATACAAAGAACATGAACAGTACAGAATGAGATGAAGAACAAGCGCATGTTTGCAAATGGATACAGCAATGGAGGGTTCGCATCCTTCTTGTCATGAGACATATTTCCGAATAGACAGCATACGTGGCTTTCACACTGCTACTATGACACAGAATCAAGTTATTCTTCTCTATTTATCCTGAGATCAGGTCGTAAACAAGTTTATTTTAAATTCCTGTATTTTCCTTGACAAATCTACTCCTGACAAGCAGAGTTTTGATGAGTGTGTAAAGGTATGAAGATGATACCTATGTCACTGGTACTGACAACTCTGACTTTTGCTAAATGTATTACTTACCAGACCGATGTCAACCAGCAATTCAATGCTTGTTCACACTGGAGGTTTTATGCAGTGTGTCAGTTGTTTGGCGGTGATCGGCATGAAGACATGATTGATCTAGGTTTCCTGTAAGTTGACACTCCTTAGCAAAGCATTTCAACAAACTAGACGGAAGTGATGTTTCCTCTTATATTGAAACCTATGTCTCGCAGCGCTACAGTTTACGATCTTCACATTGAGCTATACGCGTCCGGAATGATTTCCTATTAGAGCGCAACAAGGGGTGATGTGGTTTCAAAATACAGAGCATACGTCAAGCCCCCAGGAACTCAAGTGACTGTTGTTTGCCGTTATGCTTTCTAAGTGAGAGACATCCAACACTTCAGTTATCATTAACCTTCAGGAACAAACAATATGAGTAAACGATATTGATTAGTAGTAAGCAAGTGCCAAAACTGAGCTAGCCGACTGAAATTATGGTTCGCTTCACAGCCTACATTGTTGCATTTCATAATCCTATTTTAGCAAAATAATCACTTATCATACAACATCTCAAATATATCATCCTTATGTTTAGATAGGTTGAACAAGTAGTTAAATTATAATCTACTGAAATGTTATTAAACTGGAGACGATATTCGATAGTGGTGTTAAGTAGTGTAACTTGTGGAGGAAACTAGACTTCTGTTGAACTACTCGTGACGATGTGATGAACCGATGTCGATGTCGGTCGTGACACTGAAACGTTCGCTAACACAGACCATAACTCCGAGAACAACTCACTATGAACATACAACTCCGTTAAGCACATATTCTCGATAGTGTGATAATGGAAGATGAATATCATAGTGAAATGCTGCTTTAATCTACTATTCACCTGGAAACCAAACAAACTGGTTGAAAAATTACTACTACAGTTCTGTGAAATACTTCACTTTCAGCTTATTCGATTTCGAAAATATTGAAAATCCTCTTCAAGTTCATTTGTTCAAGTGTGTGAGTGAGCATCCAACAATTCACTTGCCAGTTTGATATGATTCAAATCAGGAGAACTGAATGTGTGACATCATCACTTTGCTTAGTTTTGTTATAGACTAATGTCACTAGAATGAATCATCAGTTCTATTTCGAAAGGTACAACCAAACGGGGTTAGTGTTACAATTGGTCTCATTACGAAATTAGGATTTCCATTACTCAATGACAAAATGTCGGCGCTTTAAACCGACTGACAATACACATTCGACTCACACTATTCAAATCAGTAGACCAAGTTGACTAGAAATTCACTTGACAATTATTTCATTCTACAACAGCTCACAAAACTTCCCAAAAAATCGTCTCCTCCACAACTGATTAACAAATCTTCATCGGCATCTTACAACGATCCAATAAGATAAATATGATCATTCATATCTACGAATGACCAACCGGTCACTTCCTCCATCTCATCAAAGTATCATCACCGCATTGAAATTCATCAGATTGCTGCAAGCTATTTTGTGACGTTGTAGATGCAACTCTGGATTGAAGAATACTCGAATGACTATACAAATAACTACAAATAGACAAGGATTTTATACCCTATACTTCATATAATTTCATTCTCCAATCTGATGACTTCAGTTCTCAAATTGGCTTTCCGTTGAAATTCACAA